AACACATGAAAATATTGAGGTCCTTACAGAAAAATATTTTTAAGTGTTATTAACTTGGAGCATCATCCACGCATATTAAATTATGGATGGAATCTCCTGAGATAGACTAGATTGCAGACAAAATTGTGCACTACTGCCTTTTAGTGACTTTGCATTTTATCACAACACAATTAAAAATGAAGAATCATAATGCAACCGAAAGTCTCCCAATATGAAGAAAAGTGTTCATTGAATCTACTGTGTGAAATAGGTAAAAGTAGTTATGAAAGTCTAAAAGCAGAGTATGAAGCCTTTGTATATTGATCATGATCACAATTAATCACAGGCATTTCACATTCTTGTGTTAAATATAAAGAATAAAAATTAAGATACAGAAAACACTCCAATGAATATTCAACTCTAAAGATGAATTGCCCATAAGAGTTTGAATTTACAGTATCTTAGCTATACTTACAAATATGTTATTTTTACCCAATACGTGAACTATGTTTTCACACTTAAAATAGAAATCAGTTCCCAAGATATCATTAATTAGACAGAGATACTGTGTTTGTCACATTAAGTAAAGAAGTCTGGAAGTCATTACAAAAGGAGTGTGTGTACATGTTGGCAAGGTATGTGAAATGGAGGTAAACATGAACAGGTAGTGAGAACTGGATGGTGTACATCTGTCCTAACAAGGTCAGGGATTAGGCATCATGGAATTCTTCTCTTCTATAGTTTTGGTCACTAAGGATTTGCAGTGCTCGGGGATCAGAATGACACTAAAATATTTTGTCTAATGAAGAGCCTTGGATATTTATCCCACAGGGATGTAGAGACTAGAAAGAGTCAGCCTGTGTAACGTCATCCAACAGCCCTTTCCTGGTCAGGAAGAAACACATCTGAGGCTCCATAGAGGGATGATCTTTCTTAGCCAGGAGCCAGTTGCCTGACTTGGTCTCTCTGCCCTACCTGAAGACATATCTCCTGTCTTCAACATCCAGATGACATGTAAGCATCATTCCACTGTGATGGAAGCCAGGTAACTTAAATTCCCCTAGTTAAAGCTTTGGTAATGAGGACAGGTATTTTTCTACAAATTAATTTGTGGGGAGAAATAAGGATAGCACATGCATGAAATTATTAGCTCCAAATGTCCATGGGACTGCAGCCTAACTGTCTTCTTGTTGACAAGTTCCCATGTACACACATACCAATACTCAACCAGTTCTTAATCAGCTAGTCTCCTAATTTCTCTTAAATTGGCAGAACCTGTTTTCCTCCTGAGCAGAAATCTGCCTGTTCTCGAACATGATGATGATTATAGGACCCTCTGACCTTTACTTGAATTCTTGTGTAGTCATGGCAAAGGGGTTTCTCAGATTCTCCTTTCATTTCCATTTCTGGTTCTTTTCTCTTTTTTTATTGTGGTAACATTGGTTTATAACATTATATAAATTTCAAGTGTACATCGTTATGTTTTGATTTCTGTGTAGATTACATCATGTTCAGACTACTTACAATCTATCACCAAACACATGTGCCTAATCATCCTTTTTGCCCTCCTCCCTCCCGCCTTCCCCTCTGGTAATCATCAATCTAATCTCAGTTTCTATGTGTGTGTTTGCCATTGTTTTTATCTTCTACTTATGAGTGAGATCATACAGTATTTACTTTCTCCCTCAGGCTTGTTTCACTTAGCATAACACCCTCAACGTCCATTCTGTGTTATCACAGATGGCCAGATTTCATCGTTTCTTATGGCTGAGTAATATTCCATTATGTATAAATACCATATGTTCTTTATCCATTCGCCCCTTGATTGGCACCTAGGTTACTTCCAAATCTTGGCTATTGTGAATAATTCTGTGATGAACATAGGGGTGCATGCATCTTTATGCATTCATGTTTTCATGTTCTTTGGATAAATACCCAGCAGTGGAATACCTGAATCATATGGTAAATCTGCCCTCAATTTTTCGAGGAATCTCCATATTGTTTTCCTGAGTGGCTGCACCAGTTTGCTCTCCCACTAGCAGTGTATGAGGGTTCCCTTCTCTCCACACCCTCTGCAATACTTCTTGTTTCCTGTCTTGTTAATTATAGCCATTTTGATGGGAGTGAGGTGTAGTTTCATTGTAATTTTTATTTGCATTTCCTTGATATTTAATGATGTTAACCATATTTTTGTGAGACTGTTGACCATCTGTATATCTTCTTTGGAGAAATGTCTGCTCAGACCTTTTGCCAATTTTTAAACTGGGTAGTTAGTTTTTCTGTTGTTGAGATGTATGTGTTCTTTCTATATTCTGGATATTGACCGCTTATCATATACATGGTTGGCAAATATTTTCTCCCATTTGTCGGGTTGCTTTTTCATTTTGTTGATGGTTTCCTTTGCTGTGAAGATTTTTTAATTTGATATAGTTCCATTTGTTTATTTTTTCTATTCTTTCCCTTGCCTGATCAGACATGGTACTTGAAAATATGCTAAGACTGATGTCAAAGAGTGTACTGCCTATGTTTTCTTCTAGAAGTTTAATGGTTTCAGGTTTTACCTTCAAGTCTTTACTCCATTTTGAGTTAATTTATGTGAATGGTGTAAGATAATGGTCTACTTCCATTCTTTTGCATGTGGCTGTCCAATTTTCCCAACACCATTTATTGAAGTGACTTTCCTTTCTCCATTGTATGTTCTTGGTTCACTTGTCAAAAATTAACTGCCCATTTTCTGGTTCTTCTACACCATTATACAGAAGAGTGTGTATTCCTGTAGCTGGGCTGTGAAGATACAGAGGAGAACGTGGAGACACAGAGATTTGGCTGGCTGCCTTCCTGGTACACCTGTTTTTGTTTTTAAAATCTTTATGCATTTTATATAAAAACAGCAGAGATGGTGTCAAAAATAAACACATATGACCACCCTTCAACTCATTCCAGAATTAACAAATGCTGACATTCTGCTATATCCATTTAAGGCTTTTTTAAAGGGGCCAGCCTGGTGGCGCACCGGTTAAGTTTTCACCATTTGCTTCAGCGGCACTGGGTTCACTGGTTCGGATCCCAGCTGCGGGTCCAAACACACTGCTTGTCAGACCATGCTGTGGCAGGCATCCCACATATAAAATAGAGGAAGACCAGCACAGATATTAGCTCAGGGCCAATCTTCCTCAGCAAAAAAAAGGAGGATTGGCAGTGGATGTTAGCACAGGGCTAATCTTCCTTAAAAAAAAAAAAAGGCCTTTTTAAATAAAGTAGCAAAACCATGTACATACAGAAGACTGAACTTTTATATACCCTTGGTTTCTTGTTCTCCCCTTTGTAGAGACAACACTATCTTAAATTTGATGGTATCCCCCATGTATGGCTTTATATTGTACGTGTATTCATAAACACATATAGGATGAAAGGTAGTAACCATAGCATCTATCAGTTTGAGAATAGATAAAACGTGATATACCAATAAAGTGGAATACTCTTTGGTGATTAAAATTGATGAAGTGGGACTAAATACATCTAACATATTCAAAATAAATTACATAAGAATGCTAATTGTAAATGACATGTGCAGTATGGTTCAGTATACATAAAGCTTTCAAAATGCAAACCAATGCAATTGGTTATGAAACAATAATACTAATTACAGTAGAATTTGAAGGGGAATAACACACATAAAGTTGACGTAGTGATTCCCTTGGGGAAGGAAAAGAATCACGACTGTGCAAATACATGATGTGGTCAATTCACGTGTACCTGTATTATTTATTGCAATAAAACCAGCTAATGAGAATAGAGAAAGTATGAATTTGATAATTTGATGGGTATCAAGCTCTTCATTGTTACTGAGTACTTTTGTTTGAATAATCTGTAACAAAAACAAACATACCTATGTAGGATCAAGTATTTAAAATTTTCTTATGCTGAAAACTTTTTGTCATAAAATTTTTTCCTCTTGTAGGATTTCATTGTTAGTATTGATTCATGTATCTGATTCTTTTTATTTCATTCTTCTTAGTTGCTGTATATTTCACCACATGTCCATTTCAAAGAATAATGATCTTATTGATGTTTCCTTCCTTCCTTTTCTACATGATAAAGGTTTCCAGCTGGAGTTGCAGCTCAGAAACTTCTGAAATTTGCAGTTACCATGGAGGGATATTCTCTCTTTCTGTTTTTTTTTCCTTAACTTGCCCAACTCCATTGCTTTCTTCTGAGAGTGAGATTTGCCAGGAGCTGTTGTTCGTGGCAGAAAAAAAAAAACTGTGAACGGAAATATCAGTATGAGAGTCCCAAATGCTGTGTGCTGACCTGGATGCTTTTCCTCTATTCATTTTTCATTATTGCAACATCCCCATAAGATTTTCTGACAATTCCCCTTATACAAATGAGGATATCAGGCTTTTTAAAGTTATAAACAAAAATTGTTCAAAAACAATTGAACAATTTCCCTCATTCACAAAGGCAAAACTAGTCCGGATTAAATTCAGAGTGTTTGAGTCTAAATAGTACACCAAATGATAAAAGCTGTCATGGCCCTTTCTTTTTCACTCTTGAGAGGGAGGACCACTGCTTTACAGAGACAATCCTGTTGGGACACTTGATTATCTTATAAGTATCACGTAAGTCTCTCTTATCTTGTAAGTCTCAGTCTTCCAATGTCCAAAAGTTGAGACTATTTTCATCTGTTTCTTTAGAAGCCTATGCATTTCATTATTTGTATCATTTGGCTGTTTTTTTTCCTAATGATATGCCACCTAACCACCTTAGGGGAAGAAATTTCCATTGGATGAGACACAGAATCTGATTGACATAGTTTTCCAGCTTATCTTACAATCCATTGCTATTGCAGTTGCTGTGTTTCCATTGGAGAGTCTAAAGAGCTTCAAGTTTATAGGCAATATTTTCCAATTTTGCTCGTGTGCAGATCATATACTTGGATGGATTCCATGCATCTGCCACACAATACTTCATGGGTAGAGGTGGGCATACCTTGGAGAGAAGCGAAAGGATTTCGGGCAATGTCTGGTATGAATATATTACAATATTAAAGGGGAACTATGAAATCTGAGTTATGGTTTAGGAATGCTAATTCTATGCTATCAAGAGGCATTAACAGAGATTAGTCAAGTGAGTCAATTCAGCAGTCAGATGATCTGATCTCATACCCAGTCTTTGCCGTGAACTAACCTTGTACTTCATATCCATGATGTACTGTCACCTTACCTAAGTTTCCCCGTGAATATATGGAGCAACTGCATAATATAACTAATCTATAATTTTACAAACCCTTCAGTAATTCTGAGGCATGCCAAATTGGGGACCACACTCAACAAGAAAGTTTTATAACTTCATCCTCACCTTTCTGTTTGTTTTGAAGACAAGGAATATTTCTGAAAGCTGCATCATGTCTTATTCTTTGCTTCAATGTCAGCACTTGGCACAAAGTGGGAAACATTAGTGATCAATAAAAATAAGGTCCAGTAAATGAAGTGGAGGGAATAGGAAGAGTCAGAGATGATAATGGAGGGAGAAATTAACAGAGAGAATGATTTGAATATTCTCTTGGGTTCACAATATAGTTTTTTTCTTTTTCTAGCACTAGGACTCATACTTTACATGATCTCAACTTATCTGGAGGGTTTGTTAAAACTTAGATGGATGATTCTTACCCAGAGTACATTAGCAGTAAGTCTGTAGTGGTACCACCATTATTTGTTTCTTATCCGTTCCCCGTTGAGGTTTCTGTTGTCTATCCAGTGACCATTCATTTTATTTTCACCCCATCTTTTCCATCAGATTCATCCATAATCTGGACTCCAGAAATCACACAGATGCTCCAGAATTCCTTCTCCTGGGATTGACAGATGATCCAAAACTGCAGCCTCTCATCTTCACCCTGTTCCTGTTCATGTACCTGGTCACCGTCCTGGGAAACATGCTCATAGTCCTGGCAATCAGCTCTGACTCTCACTTGCAAACCCCCATGTACTTCTTTCTCTCCAATCTGTCCTTTACTGACATCTGTTTAAGTACAACTACAATCCCAAAGATGCTGTTGAACATACAAGCTCAGAATAAGGGCATCACTTTTATAGGCTGCCTCACCCAGATTGGCTTTGTTCTGATTTTTGGCATGTTTGAGAATTTTCTCCTTGTAGCAATGGCCTATGACCGCTATGTGGCCATTTGTCACCCCTTGAGGTATTTGGTTATCATGAACCCCCAACTCTGTGGCCTGCTGATTGTTCTCTCATTGTTTCTTAGCATTGTGGATGCCCTGCTCCACAGTCTGATGGTGTTGCGGCTATCATTCCGCAAGGACCTGGAAATCCCTCACTTCTTCTGTGAACTTGCTCAGGTCCTCAAGCTTGCCTGTTCTGATGCATTCATCAATAACATCCTGATATATATTGTGACTGGCTTATTTGGGGTTCTTCCTCTCTCTGGGATCATTTTCTCTTATACTCAAATTTTCTCCTCTGTGTTCAGAATACCATCGTCTCAGGGGAAACTTAAAGCTTTTTCCACCTGTGGGTCTCACCTTTCAGTTGTTTCCTTGTTCTATGGGACAGCTGTTGGAGTGTACATTAGTTCTGCTCTTACTAACTCTTCCAGGAAGACTGCAGTGGCTTCAGTGATGTACATTGTTCTCCCTCAAGTGATGAACCCCTTCATCTACAGCCTTAGAAACAAGGAAATGAAGGAAGCCTTGTGTAAACTAATCAGAAGGATACCTTCTATTCTGTGATTGTGTCACCTACTTTGGACCTGGGTTCCATGAATGAGTCAAAGTGACAGAAATACTGGGTGATGCAGAATGCCTTATTAGTCCATCTGTAAGTTCTTATTAAATAAGTAGGTAATCTAATGGCTAAGAACATTTCAACTTTGCCTTGAGTCATTAATTTGCTTTTAGTCTGGTTCTGTGATCTTTGACAAGTGATTTCAGTTCTCTAAACTCAGTTTCTTTGCTCAGGTTCCTTAGAAGCAGAGATTGATGCAGGGATCCAAGTTTTAGTGATTTTTGTTTGATTCCAGTCAAAGGAATTTTGCAGGAGGTGGATAGGTCAGGAAACAATTGAAACAAGACTGTGGGCATAACTAGAGGATAACTTTCACATGATCCCATGGTAGGGTCATAACAATTGCACCTTAGATCTAAGGTTGGGCAAGGGAGCTGACCTTTTATACCCCAATTTAGTAATTAGTGAGTAATTACAATTGAGTAATTAGTGAGACTTATCACTGGTAAACCTTGTCCTTCTGAGGCAACATTAGCATCCACCATATTGAGTTTAATTGTCTATAAAGTGGCATAATTAGATTCTCTCAGTGGTCTGCAGTGATTATGACATAATTGACCTCATGATAAAGGCTTCAGTTCTAAAAAGAGGAAGAAACTTCAAATCTAGCATGACCAAACAGTAAAAAGTTATTTTCATTATAAGGACTTCAGAGACAGAGAATGTACAGGAAGAGTAGGGATTCATTCATTTCTCTGTGAAGAGTCTTTGACTTAGGTCTGGCTCTTGTCAGCATCGCCAGGTGGTAGCAGCAAATGCAAGTGTCATACTCAGACATGATGCCCAGAGACAAAAATCTGACTGTCCTTCTTTGGGTATGTCATTAATAGATTTTTCTGTGGAGCCAACCAAGTGACATCTCTGTAATGAGTTGAATGTTGGCCCTCAAAACATTATGTCCACACTCTAATCTTCCTAACTTGTGAGTATTAACTGATGATAAAATGATGATTGTGCCGATTTGGAGAAGAATATTTACAGATGAGGAGCTTATTCCATATTATCTGGCTGGACTGTAAATTTAAACAAATATATACCTGTGAAATAGGCAGACATGGAGAAGATACAGAGAAAAGCGTGAGGCAGTGTAACCACGTAGACAGAAATTGCATTGATTCAGTCATTATTTGATAATTCTTGTTTACAAGATAGTTTTTATCTTTAGACTCTGATGAATCTCTCTGTGACCCTAGCATATACTGATTTACAATTTATTGAATTTGCTTCCTTTTTATCTTGCTAAAATTTAAAATTAATTAATAAATTCTTTGTTTTGGTTTTTATTCTCATTGTGCTTCCAAGAGTCAATGATGTTATTGAGTTTAGCAGTTATTTATTTATTTTCAATGCTCTCTATTTTATGTTATGTATGGTTAAATCAAAAAATAGGAAACTTTGAAAGTTCTTAAAATATTTTAATTGCTTTTTCCAGCTTTACTGAGATGTAATTGATGGACAAAATTGTGTACTTTTTTTGCTTTTTTCTCCCCAAATCTCCCCAGAACATAGTTGTATATTTCAGTTGTGGGTCCTTCTAGTTGTGGCATGTGGGATGCCACCTCAACATTGCCTGACAAGCAGTGCCATATCTATGCCCAGGATCCAAACCAGAGAAACCCTGGGACACCGAGGCGGAGTGCACAAACTTAATCACTCAGCCATGAGGCCAACCCCAAAACTGTATATTTAAAGTATAAAATACACTTACTTGATAAATGTATCCATTGTGAAATGATTACCAAAATCAAATTAATTAACACATCAATCACCTTGGATAGTTATCATTTTGTTTCACACTTAAGATATAAGATATAAGAACACTTAAGATATATTCTCTTCACAAATTTCAAATACACAACAGAGTATTATTAAGCACAATCATTATCTTGGACATTAGATCACCAGAACTTACTCATCTTATAACTGAAAGTTTGTACCCTTTGATCAACATCTCCCCATTGCCCCAACCCCAGCATCTGGCAACCACCATTCTACTCTCTGCTTTAATAAGTTTGACTTTTTAAAAATTTCTACTTATTAGTAATACCATACAATATTTGTCTTTCTCTTTTGGGTTTATTTCACTTAGCATAAGGTTCTCCAAGTTAATTCATGTTGTCACAAATGGCAGAATTTCCTTTCCTTTTGTTGGTGAGGAAGATCAGCCCTGAGCTAACATCTCTGGGCAATCTTCCTCTTTTTGCTTGAGGAAGATTGTCTCTGAGCTAACAGCTGTGTCAATCTTTCTCTATTTTTTGTATGTGGGATGCTTCCACAGCATGGCTTGATGAGCAGTGTGTGCCTCGGGTCTGAACCCATGAATCGCAGGCTGCCAAAGCATAATACATGAACTTAACCACTATCCGACCTGGCCAGCCCCAGAATTTCCTTTTCAATACTATGTAATGATGTGGTGTAATAATTTATTACTAAATAATAAATAATGATATTTATATTACTAAATAATATGTATATAATTATATATATATATTTTTCCATTCATCTCTCAATGGACACTTAGGTTGTTTCTATATCTTGGCTATTTTGAATAATGCTGAAATGAACATGCAAGAGCAGATATCCCTCAAGATACCATTTTGTTTCATTTGCACATATACCCAGAAGTAGGATTGCAGGATCCTATAGCAGTTCTATTTTTAACATTTTGAGATATAATTAACGTATAGTGTTATATTAGTTTCAGGTGTACAACATAAGGATTCTGTATTTATATATATTGCAAAACGATCACCAAATAAATCCAGTTAAGATCGTTCACCATATACAATATACGTAGTTGCATTTTTTCCTTTAATGAGAACTCTAAGATTTACTCTCTAAGCAACTTTCAGCTATTCCCTAGAGTATTATTTACTCTAATAACTATACTGTACATTATATCTCCATGACATTTGTTTTGTAGCTGGAATTTTGTAACTTTTGACTCCCTTCACTCATTTTGCCCACCTTGGCTACCCACCTTTGAAAACCACTAATCTCTTCTCTGTATCTATGAGCTCAGGTTTTTGTTTTCCTTTGTTTTGGATGCCACATATAAGTGGGATCATATGGTATTTGTCATTCTGTCTGACTTATTTCACTTAGCAAAATGCCCTCAAAATCCATCCATTTTTTCTCAAATGGCAAGATTTCCTTCTTTTTATGGCTCAATAATATTCCACTGTATGTATACATCACATTTTCTTTATCCATTCATCATTTATGGAATCTTAAGTTGTTCTCATGTCTTCACTATTGTAGATAATGTGACAACGAACATGGGAGTACAGCTATCTCTTTCAGATAGTGATTTCTTCTCTTCCAGATATACTCCCAGAAGTGGGATTCCTGGATCATATGGTAGTTCTGTTATTACATTATTGAAGGTCTTTATACTATTTTCCACAATGACTGTAATTATTTACATTCCCATCAATCATGTACCAAGCTTCCCTTTTCTCTACATCTTCACCAACATTTGTTATCTCTTGTCTTTTTAATGAGAGCCATTCTAATAGATGTGAAACAATGTGACACTGTGATTTTGCATTTCCTGATGATTACTGATTTTGAGCATCTTTTCATACAGTTATTGGCAATTTGTATGTCTTCTTTGTAAAAATGTCTATTCAATTCCGTTGTCCATTTTTTAATCAGATTGTTTATTTTATTGCTATCAAGTTGTATGACTTTATATATTTTGGATATTAACCTCTTATCAGATATATAGTTTGCAAGTATTCTGTTCCATAGGTAAACTTTTAATTTTGTCCTTAGTTTCTCTTGCTGTACAGAAGGTTTTTAGTTTAAGATAGACCCACTTATTAATTTTTGAAATTGTTGCTTGTGTTTTTGGTGTCGTAATTGACCCATGTCAAGGAGGTTTTCCCCTGTTTTCTTCTAGGAGTTTTATGGCTTCAGGTCTTCTGTTTAAGCCATTAATCCATTTCCAGTTATTTTTTATGAGTGGTATAAGATAAAACTCCAATTTAATTCTTCTGCATGTGATTATGCAATTTTTCCAACACCATTTATTGTAGAGACTATTCTCTCCTTTTTCAGTATTGTTGGCTCCCTTGTCAAATATAAGTTAACTTTTCTCACTTCCAAGGCAGCATACTCAGATCTGTTTCTTCCTTCATTCCCTCATTTTATGGTAGACTATGGAAATAATTAACACTCAGCAATTCAATCAATTCCCTATTGCTTTTATTTTTGACACCTTTGTCTCAGTTATACAATAAACAGATAATGTTAGGAAAAGAAAATTTAAAATCAATCATGAAAGTTCAGATTATCCTCCTCTGCTTCTGATAGGCTCCATCAAATCTGGATCAGGCAGTCTGGTCACTGGCTACCAAAGGAATCTTTAGTTTACGTACCAGGATCAACACCAGGACACTCCTATTTCCTGTATTATTACGAGTAACTGAGAATATAGTCATTGGATTACCCAAAACAGGGAGGAGGTCATTGGCTGTGTTCTGGGTGCGTCAATGTATCTGCCAACTATTATTACGAACCAGTGACTTGGAAAAAGACTGTAAAGGAGTCTCTAATGTGAATAGCTCATTAGTATACCACAGTTTAAGGTGAATGTCTCTAGGTAAACTTTGCTTCACCAATGAGAAAACATGTGCCATTAGCATAGAGTCATGAAAACAAGTAACCATACCTATGCAAATCAAGATTTGACTCAGAAACACCTGAATTTCATTCTAGCTCCATCACTTGCTTTTTAAACAAGAAAACATTTTAACTGTGTGAGAAGCCTCATTCTCCCCATTTGGATTACAGACCATCAAAAGACCTTATGGGAATGTTGCAAGCCTGAATAATGAGTAGACAAAATCACTAAGCACAGTGTTTGATATATGAGAAACTCTATTTCCAGTCAAGGTTTTTGTACATTGATTTCATAACCTGTAACTTTACCATATTCATT